TGTGACCCAGATTTTCATTTCACCTTCAATCATCACCCAGTATCAATAACATATCTCGGAATGTGAATACTCATCTACTGATTCAAGCATATATTTAGCTACTAATTTATTGGTACAAGAAGCATATATTTGTATAGTCCTAATGTAAGAAGGGTAGATAACTTGAGCTATAAGTGACTGAAAAGTTCAGAAAATGCTACTACAAAGCTTGTTCAAATTTAAATTGGCCCAATGTTCAGTCTGTTGTAGGACTCTGTTTGTAAAAGGTGTTAGACTTCAGTATTTTTTCACTGAGACTACTCAATGCACATAAGTACATTCTAGAGACATGGTAACACAAAGCAAAACACTTTTAATATGCTATTTTGTCTTCCTTGTCAAGGCCCTTAAAAAAGTATACGGACGACTAGACTTTCAGCCGTAATTGCATTATTCGGTTAGAGTAAATATGCCTTGAATTCCATTGTCTTCCTCTTCTCGTGTCAGTTGAGTATCGTACTGAGAAGTCATTGTTCTATCGTTCATCATATCGCATCGGAATATATTATCGTTCATATATAAATACTACAGAGCAAAATGCATTATGTAGGACTTTTTTCCACACTGATCTTGTTCATCTGTCATCGACTGAGATGGTTGGGACACGTACTACGTATGCCTAGTCACCGATTGCCTCATCACACAATGTTAGACGAAGTAGGCCCAGGCTGGGAAAGGGCCCAAGGTGGCCAGACTAAAACATGACACCAATGTATGAAGTCTTTGACTGTTGGTTTAAGCCATGTGTAGGGCGATGCAGACTAGGTGGTTAGGGGCCGGCGGGACAAGAGGAACGAGTGGTTGGAGACTCTAGGTGATATGACTGAGAACCGATGTGAGTGGCGCAGATGTATACACACATTATCCTCATCTTAAGGAGGGTATACCGAATCTCACCATTTTGTCACTCCTCTTTTCTTTCTTCTTGTACTTTATATTTCTTTTGACTACATTCTCTTATCTTCATCCTTCACCTCACTACCTTCCTACTTGATATAGTGAAATGAGGTGTGGTAATTTGGACCATTACGCAGTAATGCCTGGTCCTATGTTAATATTGATTGATTGATCTGTCATTACCGTAATTCTGTGTTAAGCAGCTATTAGTGATGAATCTTATTTAGTGCATTGTTAAAGGTGATTTTTGAGGAACACCGCAGTTCTTAGCATTCAATATCGCCTCGCCTGGTTAACTAGTTCACTAGTTACTAGCCGGTCCTAAGCCCGGGTAAACAGGAAAGGTTGAGCATACAGCTTGCAACCTTACCCCCTAAAACAAATCTAACCGCTAAAGAAACATCACAGCACAAACAAAATACAAAAAATTAAAACAAAATTACTCCTCGCTGGAATCGGAGAGGCGAAATGACACCGGTTGGTGAAAGCCTGCCTTCGGGAAGCCAATTGGCCGATGTGTCTCATCTCGATGAAAGCGAAAGTAAACGTGGGAACATGGAATGTCCTCACCATGTTTGAACCCAGCAAGGTAGCCCAGATTGCAAAAGAGATGAGGAGGTATGACATTGAAGTGTTAGGAATTTGCGAAAGCAGATGGAATGGGAGTGGACTCTCCAAACTGTCAACTGGAGAATCAATGATCTACTCCGTTACTGTCACCCTGACGACAACCACGAGCACACTGAGTTATGGAGTGGCTATCATGATGTCCCCAACAGCATCGAGGGCTTTCATGCAGTGGGAACCAATCTCCTCCAGCATCAGGATCATGACAGCAAGGTTCAACTCAAAAGGAAGAAAGGAAGATCACAATCATACAATGCCAGGCTGTGCACCTACAAATAATGCAGATGAAGAGAAGAAGGAGGAATTCTACAGACAACTTCAACCAGTTGTGGACAAGATTTCAGTTGGCGACATCAAAATTCTAATGGGTGACATGAATGCCAAACTGGGAGGGGGCAACACATGACGAGAACTAACCATGGGTTGAGAAGCGCTCTGTGAGGTGATGAACGAGAGTGGAGGGTTGTTTTCAGAATTCTGTGCATTCAACGATTTGGTGATTGGAGTTAGGCAGTGTGTTCAAGCACAAGGATATCCACGAAGCGACCAACATGGATTTCACCAGACACCAGGACATACCACACTGAAAATCAGATCGAGTTTATCTCAGTGTGAATAAAGTGGAGAGGCAGCCTACTTGACACAGGGTGAAGAAGAGGAGCAGATGTAGGCTCACACCACTGATTGTCTAGTGCAAGAAACCTTCCAAATGAAGTTGAAAGCCTTGAATTCAAGGAAGTTGATGATAGACCACAGTTCAGGTTTAACACCCAGAACAGAGACTGAAGGACGAAACTACAAAGGTAATCTTCACGATAGCCATCAAGACAAAATGAGAGATATCGAGGAACATCCGTGAAGAAACCTGTGTGTAAGAACACTGGAAGTTTTTAAAAGCCATGTGGAAATAAAGGTGCGTAATCGTATTAGGAAGGAAGAAGAAAGAAGATAAGGAATGGAATGGATCGCGACGGACACATGGAAGCTGATACAGTAGGGAGATGAGGATGGTGAAGCAGAAGACAAACAAGTGCAGTGCAAGGATGAACAGCGAAAAGAGGATCTGAGTACAATGTATAAAACACTGGACAAAGAAGTGAAGAAGAGTGTGCGGAAAGACGAGAGACACTTCTACGAAACACTGTCAAGTGAAGCAGAACGGGCTGCAGGTATGAGAGACCTGACAACATTGTATTATTTGGGCAGGTTACTATTGGTGGGGAGGTGGGGGTGGAGGGAAGAGATCAACACAGATGAAACCAATAAAAGATGATGAAGGAAGTCTAATCGTCAAAGAAGAGAAACAAAGGGAACGATGGGCTGACCACTTCAAGAAGCTCTAGAATCGACCACCACCTGCACTTCGTCCAGAAATGCCTTCTGCAGCCCAGTCGCAGAACTACAAGTGAACATAAATCCTCCAACAAAAGTGGAAGTTCTGAACGCAACGCCATAAGGCTAGTGAAATATGGTAAAGCAGCAGGACCAGATGGAATCCTACCAGAAGCACTGAGAACAGACACAGAGACAATAGCGGACATGCTCACACAGCTGTTGCAGAAGGTCTGGAGGGTAGGGAAGGTACCTAGAGGTTGGGATAAGGGTTACCCGATGAATCACGCTCCTGCCCTCCCAGAGCAAGCAAAGTATTAAGCCGCATCACGTTGGAGAGACTAAAACATGCGCTGGATTCAAAGTTACGACCGGAACAAGCATGCTGGATTCAGGAAGTAAAAATAATGTGTGGACCAGATTGCAACACTACACTAGGCATCATCATAGAACAGAGTATGGAATGGCAGTCAACTGTCTACCTCAACTGCATCTACTTTGAGAAGGCCTTTGACAGCGTCGACCAAGAAGTAATTTGGCAACTGCTTCAACACTACGGAATACCGGAAACCTTTATCAGCCTCATTCAACAACTATGTGAAGATGCCACATACCAACCAAGTAATTCACAATGGGAAGCTCAGCTCAGTGATGTTTTGAAGTGAAGACAGGGTGAAACAAGTCTGCCACCTACTATCACCCATGATATTCCTGATTGTGTTGTAGTGGACTGGATCATGCAACAAGCAGTGGGGAGCTGTGAGAAGAAGGGGATACACTGGACCGTGGAAAAGACTCGGGAAGAAGATTTGGATTTCGCCAACGATGACTTGTGTCTAATGTCACACAAACTGGAAGATCTACGGCGAAAGCTAACAAGTTGGCGGAAGAGGCAGGGCAGGGTAGTGAAGACGGGACTTCAAGTGGATATAGAGAAGACAGAGGTAGAAGTGATGAAGATACCCAACCGACAACAACAGCAAGAATAAGCTCCAATCACCACCAACGGGAGAAACTCAAATGAAGTAACCTCCTTCACCTATCTAGGCAGCATCCTTTCAATTACAGGTGGCACAGCTGAGGATGTCAAAGCCAGCTAGGATGGGAAAAGCAAGAGAGACGTTCATTAACCTGGAACCAGTGTGGAGATCTTCTGCACTGCACTCAGCATATGGAACAAGATCCGGATTTTCAACACCAACGTCAGTCAATTCAGTGCTTCTGTATGGCTCAGAGACTTGGCGGGTTACGAATGGGATTTCCAACAAACTGCAGACATTCATCAACAACTGCCTACACTGGCTCGCTACTGACGATCAGATGGCCAGAAAGAATAAGCAACAGGGAACTCTGACAACGAAGCAACCAAGAAGCTATCGCTAAACAAATATGCAGAAGGAAGTGGAGATGGATTGGGCATACACTGAGAGGGCTGACTGGGGACATCATGCGTCAGGCCCTCTAGTGGAACCCCGATGGGTTGCGACGAGTTGGGCATCTGAGGTGAGGGTGACATGGGGAGATCATGCGAGGAGGAAATGAGAGCCTCTGGGCTGTCGTGGAGCCAGGTCCAGAAGATTTCAGAGGACAGATTGGAACGGAGACGTGCTACTGAATCCCTATGTTCCATTAGGAACCCAAGGGACAAATAAAATAATAATAATAATAATTTATGTTCTCTGTGAAAATACAACTAATGACATCACTGTATGATTGCTTTTAACTTCAAGTTTCTGTGCACTTATGTTTCTTTCGGTTCGTTCGTCTGTTCATAAAAAGAAATGTGTGCAGTGCATCATAACATGGAGCTTTCTTGTACATTGAATTCTCCTGTGTGTTACGTAAAGATGAGTAGCGGTTTGAGATCCTACAATATTGTGCAAGCTCCTCTCGATTTTCATCTCATCGAACATGATAAATTCAATGTATTGCCTTATATTTCTGCTAGTTACACACCAGCCTTCATTTGAACAACCCAGTTCAATCTGTTATCAGAGAAGATATTTTCATTTATGCTTCTTTTTGTGTATTGTGCTTTGGTTAACAGTGTTGAAATAAGGTTTAACATATTTCATAATCGTTTTCAATCGTCTCTTCTTTTTTAGGCCCATTCATATGTTAATCCTAGTATGATCTCAAGATTACAAAAGGGTTATTTAGTAAAAAGTGCTCCTGGTCAAGGTCATCTGCCCAATCGTAAGTCGACATCATTGAAGCTTGTTTTTTTTGTTGATATTTCTCTTTAAAACAGAGTTTATATGATATATGAGCATGTCTGGTTAATGCGATGAAGGTGTGCTGTAATCATCTTGATTAAGTTGTCTTACTCATTAGATACAGTGTGTTCGGGTGATATATATTGGCTCTAAGTAACTATACTATACTCAACTAATCCTTTGAAAGCAGTGACAGTAAGTTTGATAGTAATGTTGGCCAGTGGTTAACAATGAAATCCAGGACTTGAGTTTCATCCTGTTTGGGGCTATTCAGTTGAATGTGCCTGCCTTCTAGTGATTTACGTTGTCCCTTGGACTTACAGAACATTATTAAACAAATGACTACATTGTAAACTTGGTTTTCTAACAGATGATACCGTATTTTATATCCTTGTAGATGTCAATAAAACCCTCTGAATCACTATTTGAACTTCGATTGCCATTCTACTGAGCGCATCGAATCTGAAAATTCAAACCGACGCTTTCTTGTTGTAGTATCTTTCTCAATACTTCATTGAAACTTCTGACAAACAAATGCTGTATGACTGTTTCCTTATTAAAGACATACTTTAGAGTTGATACTTTAAGACTGCGCGTTCTGACTACTTAAACCGTAAATCAATACAAGTCAAATAAAAATACTACATCATCTTTAAGATTCTATTCATCATGGGCTGACATCAGTTGGAGAACCATTGAAAACCTGGGAGCACTGACAGCTCTTTCGTCCTAGTATAAGACTCCTCAGCAGTGCACACCCATGACCCCTCCATGGATAGAACTCCGGGTCTTAAAGTTATGTAGCAAACGCGTTAACCACCAGGTCGGAGTTCAGTAGTTAATAATTCGCTACTTATGTCATTTCGTGATATAGTGCGACTATCCACCAATGTCTTCAGTTGGCATGAGCTTCACTTCCAATTGGTTGACCCTGCTGGTGACGGCTTCTCATTAGAACTTCGGATGTCCATCTGAAAGGATGTCACTAATGAGTGCTATGCTGTAATATAGTATGAGGTCTATATGGAGATTTTATTTTTAAGGTTGTTTTCATCAGCGTACCGCTGAGAAGTCTGATACTAGGACAAAACAACTGTCCAGTCCTCCCAGGTTTCAAATAATTCTCCAACTGATGTTTGTACGTGATGTATACAAGCTTATGAATAAAATCTCCATAGACCTATAAGTGAATATGACAAAGTTATTTCCTTTCATAAATTGTACTCTATTAAGTTTATAATTTTCACTGTAATGAAAATCTTAAATGATGAAAAAAATCGAGAAACACTTCGGTTTGTTTCTAAAAAAGATGATCTTGGCGAAATTTGAGTGTAAAAATGCTACTACAATAATCCTTAAAAAGAATCCCTTTCTTAATGTCACTTTGATATTTATCATTTTTTGGTGAGTCTTTAATTTGTGCTGATGTGATAATCATAAGTTTAGGTGGAACTGTGAAGTTGATTGCATTGAACTTAGTCTATACTAACTTCGATCTCAATCGATGAAGGTTCATCGATTGAGATGCTTGAGACACGTACTACGTTTGCCTAGTCACCGATTGCCTCGTCACACGATGTTGGACGAAGTAGGCCCAGGCTGGGAAAGGGCCCGAGGTGGCCAGACTAAAACATGACACCAATGTATGAAGTCTTTGACTGTTGGTTTAAGCCATGTGTAGGGCGATGCAGACTAGGTGGTTAGGGGCCGGCGGGACAAGAGGAACGAGTGGTTGGAGACTCTAGGTGATATGACTGAGAACCGATGTGAGTGGCGCAGATGTATACACACATTATCCTCATCTTAAGGAGGGTATACCGAATCTCACCATTTTGTCACTCCTTTTTTCTTTCTTGTACTTTATATTTCTTTTGACTGCATTCTCTTATCTTCATCCTTCACCTCACTACCTTTCTACTTGACGTAGTGAAATGAGGTGTGGTAATTCGGACCATTACGCAGTAATGCCTGGTCCTATGTTGATATTGATGATGATACTAACTTCAAAGATATTTGTCTGTAGTCCTGGTTCGGTGAACTGGAGATATTCAGTTCCACCTTATTAAACCCTTAAAATGAGTGAATAGAAGAGATTTGATCGTTGTTAAAACGCTAAAAACCTATAACTTTAAAACTTAAGCTTCACTTTTCAGCACAGGTTTCAAATACTATGGTCAATATTCCGGTTTTCAGGGTTCATGGTTTTTTTTTAAATTCTCGCCCTTATTCTTAATCCTAGTACAGAGATTCTAGTATAACTTTAGAAAACATGACTGCCTCTTCCAGGCATTTTATCTCCTGATGATGGTGTTATTTTTGACTTACATATTTAGCATTTACCTTCTTTTATCCATGAAGCTGATCAAGTATGTGTGCATTGTGAAATTTACCTGTGTTCAATCGTATATTTGTAACAGACAATGATTTAAGGGAGATGGTATTAAAAAGGTTCTGGGGTGATCAGTTTTTTCCCTAATATGGCAATACTTAAAAAATTACACGAATTAGACACTACTGGATAACCGCTGTACCTCTTCTACTCCTTGAGGTTGAGCACTGATAGAAGTCTATGGATCATGTTTTGTAGAGTGAAGTCAGGGACTTCATTACTAAGCTAGTTGGGTCATGATAATTGACCCCTTATAGAAATCACTTGTGTGTATGAGGGACAATGATAGTTAGAAACCTGCATCATTTACCTACTGAAGGTAATTTCGTGTACATAAGCCACTTCTGCAGGGGGCCACTTATAGCATGTGTAGCTTAATGGTAAGTTCTCTGATTTCAGGACTGAGTGGCACAGATCCGGGGCACCGATGGGATATAAGTTCCTCCCTATGGTTGTATATATGTCTTATTGATGAGCATCAATAAGCTGCAAAACTAGATCATTGGCTTCTTGACAACTTACCCTTAAAACCTAATACTGAACGTGTTTTTCTAACTAGAATTGTACGATGAATATCTATGTTGAGGATACAGTTCTATGTAGTTTGAATAAATCACTTCTAGTATGTGAATATCCATCTACTGTTGGGATGAGGATATCTGTCTTCTTTATCCACATGGATTGATTCTCCATTCTATTCCAAGATGCCTGTTATTAGCTTACAGCTTATAGATAACCAAGTTCTGGTACATAAGAACGCTGTAAAAACATGCATTTTTCGTGAGTATGAGAATGAGTAATATTGAGAATGTTTAGATTTCAGCTTCAGGACTGGTTTGCTTCCATGTCTTGTTTTACATTAGTGAGGTATATGGTTGAACGCGTCGACCCATTCATCTATATGGAAAGTTGAATCAGCGTGATTTGGATTAAGTCTCTATGACGATATGGATTGACATGGACAAGAAATACGTATACCTATTAAAAGGGGTTCGTTTTACCATAGTGTGAAGTTGTTAAAGGTGGGGGATTTATGATAGTTACAGGTAATCAGTTGCCGTCTCCTGCATGGTTTCTTTTGGTCATAACTCAGCCACTAAGTGAGCAGTACCTATGTTAGGTTTAGAGCACTAGGTGGACTCTGTAAATGAGTTGATTAGGTTGGGAACCTTTGTCAGACTAGTTAATTGGGGCGTATGTGCATCTAATTAGTCATGCAACGCTTTTAACATAGTCCTTATGCTGCTTCACTAAGATATCAACTAGTAGCGTTTGAACATTCAGGAATTATCAATACTTTACACATTTCTAGTAATACAGTTACTTTTTTGACTACCACTATTCTTCCTTATTCCAGTTATCTCTCACAATTATCAATTCTATCGTTCTTATAATCCATTCAAAACATACTTCTTTAAGCATTGTTAACGTCTTAGGTTTAATGAATAATGGTTTTCAGAAGGGTGACTGATTTCAGCATCTAAATCCCGTAGTAAACTGGGTAACAGACGCTTTTTAATGAGAAATAACATCTCATACTGCAGATTTATGTTGCGTTTGTGATGTTTCTTCGCTAAATCTCATGTAGTTGATTATGATGGCTATTTTTTTTTTCACGCTGAGGCTGGTTTACGTTTCATCTGGTAGAGTTGGTTTGAACATTTTGTTTTGGATAGTATAATCTTTGATAGGATTTATAATGTTAACCTTCTACATGCTGTTCAACTGATCATCTGTATAAACTATGCAGCAGCGGTTAATTTCTTTCTTCAACGTTTGACCACTGAAGCTTTGTTTACTTATGTATGTGAAATAATTAGATGTTATCTAGGCTTCATTATACAGTTTATTGGTTTGATGTGTTGTCAACTTTCCCACTCTGACAACTTCATTTGCAAATTGATTGTAATTTTGTCTTTTTTTTCGGACAAATTGTAATAACACATCAGAAAAACATGATCAAAGGTCTTTTCATCTATCATTCATTGTTAACACAACTAGTATTCTTTTAACTCTCTCTAGATGCGTAATACATATCTAAGATATTTTGTATAACAGATCTGTTGCAGTTCCCCAGAATCATCGATCTCGAGGCATGTATTGTAATTTTTAACCTTCATGTTGTTGGTTCATGGGACCTAACTAGTTGGTCTGTATTAGCTTAAGGGTTGCTTGTACAGTCAATTCGATATTATCGGTATTATCAGATCTTGGTTACATGTTGGCTAATAACTAATTATTGAATTTTGGATAGATATTCTGTCCCATTTAAGATTCATCACCTAAATGTACCTGCATCCTAGCTATTAGTGTTTCACTGACTTAGACACAAACTTACCACCCATTTCTTCAGACTCTAGTACGTTCTCGACCCGACTATTGTGTCATGATGACCCCCCTCTTGGTCAATGGATATCAATTAGTTATCGATGCTTTCATTCTAAAGTATTTTTTAAGAGTACTGTAAACAGATCGGAAAATACGTTTGTCTAATCTATTTAGAATTTCTTTTAATGAAAATTTAGTTATATACTAAAATCTCTTCCTTGTTTTATTAAATTACGTTTGGGTCAATGTGAATGGATCATTCTCTGTTGTAATTCAGAATTATCTCCATTTTCTATTCCGTCAACATTTCGTCTAAGTAATACAAAAAAGCCAATGTGAGTTTTATATTTTACATACTATTTATTATTTATAAGTTGCATATTTCAGGTCAGTTATGTTCTTTTTTTCACACCTGATGGTAATAAGACTATTTGAGACAGCCATGGAGATGAGCTGAAAACGTGGGCTAGCTGCAGGATTCGAACCAATGGCTTCTGGTTACCGACCTGGTGGTCTACCAACTGAGCTGCAAGACCTACTTGATCCTAACGTTACTTCAACCACCGATGGGTTTTTTTCCAGCTGACATGGGAATATGAGATACATCACTGTTTATTCATCTTAGTCGAACTGGTTGCCCAACTATGTCTTTCTTCTTGACTGAGCTTCTCGTATATATACAGTTTTAAATGTTGACATCAAGGTCATGCTTGATGTTCGTTTGTTAGTAAACAAAATTGATACACTCTCCATGAGTAATTTTGCTAGTCAGAACTTACTTGATTTGTTAGTTTCCTGTTTTTAAACTGGTTTGTTTAGTGAATATGTATACATCAAGGAGCTCAGGTTTAATATCATCTCGACTGCATTAACTAGTTGGGAGATGTTCCTACTTACATTCAAAAAGGTGTCAGTCGCGTTGTTACACCACTGAAAGATCAGTTAGTAAAAACTGAATAACTACAAACTTTCATATATCTAACAATCTTCTGAAATCAGATTCATTTCAATAAAATTTACATCTATAAGTACTCATCAATGTTGTAGTGACTTTAATCTCTAGAATAATTACCTTTAACTTGATAAGTAGGTTGATATTAGAAGGTTGTTTTTCTCGATAGAAAATAACAAACTATGGTTAGATGTAATTAATGCTATAGGGAGATGTTATTCTTGTTCAAGCAAATTTTCAATGTTTCACCCATCATTACTTCAAGATATAAATTCATGTATATAAATTAATTACTGGATAATTCCTGATGTATTATAGGGCTAGTGGCTGAAATCCAGGACACTCGTTTTGTCCTATTTAGGATTCACCAGCCGGATGTACCTTCACCACAGTAGGTGATGTTGTTGCAGTAGAACTAAACTTTAGTGACGAGAAACCTTGAGGATAACCAATCAGGTTAAAGATGTGTTATTCAAGGCATTTCTTACTTCCCTTTACCGTGTTGTTGATGCTGTATAAACCTTTGATCAATTATCACAAAGAATACGTTACACGTTGTGCATGAAAACTGTTGGAGTAGGTAATGTAGTTGAAATAGATAAATGTCTTGTTCGGAAAATTGAAAATAACCTAGGAAGATGACTTAAGCAGGACTGGGTAATGTATAATTTACACAATGTATGTACACATACATTTGTCTTAGCATATCGCAGATTCTCGGCACAGACAACCAAAATACAAAGAAAGGATATTTTCAATGGATAAAGAATAGATCAGAAAAATCTATCCTATCAGGTATAGAAAAATACGTCGAATCGGGTGCCACAATTGTGGTGTATCAATATACACGTATGCTTCGAGGTCGTATATGCTATCATCTGAAATGGGTTACCCCCCATCAAGCCATTGTTGACAAGAATCACTTCGTTGATCAGACATTTGGAGTGCATACAAACAACACTGAAAATATGTGGAATCATCTTAGAAAGTTCCTAACAGGATCACGAGGGGAAATGATATTTTCAGATATGGTTGAGTGGCAATATAGATAATGGTGTAGTTTTAAAGATGATCAACGTATTTAAAATCTAGATATCTTTATTTCTCGTGTAAGAGAGATTAATAAACAGAAAAAGGTACCATTTTTTTTATTAATAATGTTATCATGTATATTCTGAATTTTGATTGGTCAGTGCATACTTGAACATGATTGACCATCACTAAGGTTTAGTTTTACCGTTACCACTTTCACTCGAACCATGTACCCATCGCTTCAAACTCAAAAGCGTTATCCACTAGGCCAATAAGGCAAGAGAGCTGTCTCTTGTTTAACGGGTATCAATTAACAATGAGTAATGTACTTGTTAGATAGAGTCGACAGCTGCTTCAACACTATGGTGTGCCACAAAACTTTATCAAACTCATTCAACAGCTATATGAAGACGTTACATGCCAAGTGATTCACAATGAAAAGCTCATTGATGCCTTTAAGGTGAAGACAGGAGGAAGACAAGGTTGCTTACTATCACCGATGATTTTCCTGATTTTGTTGGACTAGACTGCATCATGCTACAAACTGTGAGAAGTTAGCAGATGACCATGCGCTGCATGACCGATGAAAAGACTCTGGAACATTTGCATTTATCTGATGATGATTTATGTCTAATGTCTTGTCGCACAAACTCGAAGACCTACAGGCGAAAACTAACAAGTTGACAGAAGACGCGATGCAGCGATGACGGGACTTCAGGTGAACATAGAGAAGATAGAGGTAGAGGTGATGAAGAAACCCAATCAACAATAACAACAAACACCAATCACCATGAACGCAAGAAAGTTGTCTCTTCCACCTACCTACCTAGGCAGTATCCTTTCAATTACAGGCGGCACAACCACAGATAAGGTTGTGAAAGCCAGAATCGAAAAGACAACAAGACAGGCCTTCCTGCATTAATGTGAAACAATCAGTGTGGAGATCTACTGCACTGCACTCCACTGCACTATACTAAACTACACTATACACTGCACTGCACTGCACTACACTTCAGTCAGCATAAGGCATGAACAACATCCGCATTTTCAATACTAATGTCAGTCAAGTCAGTGTTTCTGTGTGATGGTTGACAGACTTGGTGCAATACGAAAAGCATTTGCATCGAACTGTATACATGTATGGACAGTTGTTGCCTCTCACTCTCACTCAATCCTGACACTGAAGATCGATGAGATGGATGGATGGCCAGAATGATAAGAATAAGGAAGAAGGAACTGTGGCTGGCTGTCTGGCTGGTTGGTGGCTGGCTGGCTGGCTGGCTGGCTGGCTGGCTGGCTGGCTGGCTGGCTGGCTGGCTGGCTGGCTGGCTGGCTGGCTGGCTGGCTGGCTGGCTGGCTGGCTGGCTGGCTGGCTGGCTGGCTGGCTGGCAACGAACCGATGAAGCAAGAAGCTATCGCGCACCAAATATTCGGAAGAAGGAAGTGGAGATGGATTGGATTGGATTGGAGATTGACTGAGAATACGGTTTTGGGACATGATGCATCAGGCCAGGTTGTCGAGTGGAACCGAAATATGAAAGGACGAGTTGAGCTTGGGAGGCGAGGCGAGGTGAGGTGAGGGTGAAATGGAGGAGATGGTGTGAGGAACCCAAAGGACAAATAATAAAATAATAATAATATGGTTGTTAAATTCCTTTAACCTAGCACTCACCGAAGTCTATCCACCAATTCAGCAATGTTACCACTCATCTAAGTGATTGGTTACTGTATTGCACTGTATTTTCATTTTAAAATTTTAGTATTCGATCGGTAGGAATTGTTACCTCATTGAAATTCAGTGCTTTTTGGAAACCATCAACAAGATTTATGTCCTCCTGAAGATTTGAACTTACCCTTTCTCAATTTTGAGGTCAGATAATAAACTTAACGTTAAAGTGTTCAACTTCACAAGTGATTGTAGGGGATTCGAATATTCAATATGACAAGAATCCTTTTAAGATTTTGTATATATCTTTCTGGTGGGTACCAACAAGCAAGCAACTTCGTTGAACTAGGGCTTCCTGTAAATTGAATCCTGATCTCCGACTGCAGAATAAATTACTTTGCACCTGTCATACGAAGTCAAAATTTCATATATCTTGGTTAGCCTATGATAAATCGTATACCTGAGTGAATGATGTATAATTTTATTTGTATCGCTATGGTTTTTGTTGCATTACTAACATCTCAAGTAGAACCAATATCTGTTCCAGTTATTATAGTTCTTTTACTATGATTTATTTTTTTCTCTTTGTTTACCTTACATTTATGGATACTCCCAATGATGATGAGTAATCGAATTACTGTGAGAACTTATACTTAGATAAGTGTGAGATTTCCTTAGTCTCATTTATCCCTTGGTTTTACCTGAAATCTGTGAACTTTTCAATCAGTTTTTATGTAAATAGCAGGTATTCGACCATTCTTTATGTACTTCAATAGCTCCTCAATTACAGATCTTTGACTCATAATACACCTTCAGTTAGACTATGATCTGGTCAGTAGTCCATTCTTATGGCTAATTTAACGTAGCGTTTGGTTGGTCAATGCCTACGTATTTCCTGGTTAACCTTTGATATTATTACTGTGTATTAAACTTGGTCAATTAACCAAACCTGTCTGTAGTAATCGAATCAATTATAGTTCTAATTAGTCTAAGTTTCAGAATGGAAGTTAATTTGCTTACTCAGTATGTTGTAGTACTGTTGCCAGTTGTACATTCAGCTGATAAAAGTGACTTATGAAATTTGAAGCGACTGAATAAACTGCTTTCAGAGATATTTTAGCCATATCTTCCAAATTGTAGACAAGTGTGGTCTGTTGTAAAAACAATCACACATTTTTTCATTTAATCTATTTATTCCAGTTCCAGTGTGGACTTATGGCTTATTGGTCTAAGTAGTTGACTTCCAACCAAGTGGGTCGTGAGTTCACATCCCACTCCACATACCGAAGTTTTGACAGTCAGATAGTATCATTCACCTTCACGCAGTTCGTATGGCCCATTGCTTACTACAGAAGGTTGCTGAGTGAATTTCAATTCATTTTTTGTGATTCGTGTAGTTTCAACGGCATCTTTTCTTCTTTAGAATTATATTTCAGCTATGCTTAAATTTGAGTAGTAAAATGACGGGATTTCAATCGATAAAATATTCAACTGAGCATGAAAACTAAATCCATCACTTATTTTAATAGTGTGATTGATATACCTAGGGTTCCGTTAAAGAAGAATAGGAGAAATGCTTGCTTCTTAGATTTAACAGTCATGGTAGTCTCGACAACCTCTTGACGATATCGTTACTGTCTACCAACTGCACTGATATAATCTTAACGAAGTATTGTGGAGATTCTTATGACCTAATGAAGAATATTTGAGCTTTTAAAAGAGTTATGCCCTTAAGAAATGCGCAATAGAATGATATTAGAGATGTTATACATCTAGTTCCTTCGACAAATTCGAACAATGCAAGAACAAAAACATATTCCGAGAAATCTGTGTCTGAATGGTAGTAAGGCCTTTAAGAGCGCAATCGCCAGGTGTGTGATATAAACAGAATATCAAATAGATGTTTCTCAATCCTTCAGGATAATCAACAAACAAAAAATACTATGTTTATTACTGTTTGAGGATGCTCTCGCTATCAAACATTTTCAATCTGACCTATGTACTCAGAAGGAGACAGTAATTAACCTTTCTTTATCTTGGTAAGCGTATATAATTTTTGGTTGTATTGTGTTCTCTGAGCTGGGTTGTTTAATCGTGAAGCTTTCATCGCCTTGCTAGACGAAATTAGCACTAACTTCAGTATGAAGTGAGCTGTCAGTATCTCTCCGTCAGTGATTTAGTAGCTTGCTCTGACGATGTGGTCTGTGATTGGTTGTTTCCTTCGATTGTTGTGTCATTGATTGTATAGACTTTCTTGTTGACTGTTCATCTGCTTCACCTCTGACCTTTCTGTCGTTTATCATTTCTCTTATTGGTTGATAGATCGGGTCTATATCTATACATCTATTGATTGCTGACTAACTCACTGACCTGAATGCCAAGCTTCTAGAAATCCTCTGACATTCTTTGTATTTCCTCTGTCCAAAATTTCTGCACTGTCGAAATTGAATTCATGTCCATAATTATCCACATGCATCGAAATGAGTGATGAAATGTCAGGGCGTTTAATAGCCAATTGGTGCTCATGTAGACGAAGGCGAAGAGCGCGGCAGCTTTGTCCAGTGTAGTGCTGACTACGGTTATTACAGTTGATTTTCTAAATGATATTCTGTTTGTCTTCTCTGCTTGTTGCATCCTTTAGTCTACATAATAGTGTTTGGAGGGAATTTGTTGGTTTATGAGGCACACCAATTCCAAGCGTTCTCAGTAGTCTTGTCGTGATTTCTGATATATTCTTTATGTATGGTAGGGCGATGCGTTTGTTGATTTCTGTTGATGACTTGGTAGTTGGTGATGCACAGGATAAGCATCTTCTGATAAAGTTTCGTGTGTAGCCGTTCTTCTTTAGGATGGACATCAAGTAATTTATTTCGTTTCTCCATGAAGTTGTTGTGCTGCAGTGTGTTCTCGCTCTTTTGAATAGAGTCTGCACGCAACTGATTTTGTGTGTTGTTGGGTTATTGCTATTGTAGTTGACGATTTGACCAGTCAGTGCATGTAGGCTTCCTGTACAGTTGGGTTTCCAGCTTTCTGGCATTTTTCCTACTGACTAAAACATCCAGGAATAGTAGTTGTTAGTTTGACTCTTTCTCCATTATGAATTTGATGTCATTGAAAATGTTGTTGATCAAACTGTATGTTTTCTATATCGTCCTTTTTAATGATGACAAAAGTGTCGTCTACATAACGAATCCAAATTTTTGGTTTGATCACAGGTAGAATGATGACTTCCAGTCTCTGCATCACTGCTTCTGCTATTAATCCGGATATCAGTGATCCCATTGGAGTTCCTTTCATCTGTTTGCATATCTTGTCGTTGAATTGGAAGTATGTTGTCATACAAAGGTCGATGAATTTCATCAGACTTGAACATTTGAGTTTTGTGCGTTCTGAAAAGTTTTTGTCTTCATTGATCAAGAAGGATATCGTTTCCTTGGCCAATTGAGGTTCGATGGATGGTGTATAGTGCTGTAACATCGAAGGATATCATTAATTCATCGTTTTCTATGTTAATATTTTTGATATTTTTTAAGAATTACGTTGGTGATTTGATGGAATGTCCGCATGATTGGACAAGGTGTTTCAGTCTTCTCTAAAGTTCTATTGATATGTTGTATTTTGGAGTTCGCAGAAGTGAGACTATTGGTCGTAGAGGGATATCGGGTTTGTGTAGTTTTGGTCTGTCGTAGAACCGAGGTAGGATAGGTCCCTTCGATTTCATTCTCCATTTGTCTTGGTTTGTTATTTCTTCTGCTACAAGCATTCTCCAGTATATAATTTTTGCATGTGTATGTATTTAGTCTTCCCTTTTCTTTTTTTTGATTGCATCATCTCTTCATTAATCACTTACTGACTATTAATCACTTAGCAATTTTCAAGTTTTTCATTTAACTTCGTAACCTATTAGCTCTTAAACAATCTCTTTTTTTACACTGATTTTCGTTTGTTGTCTTCCCACTCCACAGCTCCAGATTTTTCTACCTCATCAGATATAAATTACCATTGATTTTGACTAAGATTTGTGACTATTAATCTTGTGTATACTTGACTTACTACCTTACTGTTAATCCTGGGTTTCAAATCTCCATTTATTTCTGCGTATTCATAGTATGTTATGTTATTATTATTACTATTAATACTTCATTTCAGTTGTAGGCTGCGTTGCAACTGATGAAAGGTCATGAAATAAACTGAGCTCATTTTATTCTGCAAATGTCTTTATTCTTGCATTGTTCAAAGAATGATATTAGGTTTGTAAATGGATTCACCTCAGTATGTATTCATTACAATCCATGTGCCAACACACACACACACACATACACACTACAGGATTTTGGATGAAAACTTAAAGAATTACTTGAAAAATTAATTTTTCTTTAAAAGTCTATACGAAGATGACAGCCTTTTTGAAGCTTTACTGTCAAATTCGTCAGACGAATACTGGTGGCTACGTTGTATTGGAATGTGAAACGTGGAAATTGACAGTAATGTAAAATTTCGTTGGGTTTATCACCTTGAATATTGATCTTTTATTCTAAACTTTCTAGCTTTACTCTGTGTCTCAACTCCATAGCTAGACTGTTTCAAGATCTTTCATTTATCACATCTAGTGAAGTTGTATTTATTCCTTCTCAAATGAATTCTTTTTCATATAATCAATTGATTTATCTGAACAGTCTAATTCTTTTATCCATACTTTCTTTCACAGTTGGGATTGGAAAGAATTGAATAGCCATGTTGAACTTTTTATCAACTATACAAACAGAAAAATATTCAATAATTTCAATGATGAATTAGATATCTTACGAAGTCTGTCTACTTGGACTCCACTTGATAAACAAAAAGAATCAAGTGGTGTGCTTATGCTGCGAACATTTTTAGATGAAGAATATCATTGCTTGGAATTCAGTAGGTTATTTCATAGTTTAATTAACTGATTTTGGATTATAATTTATTTGTTGGTGGTTAACAGTGGAATCTTAGACTCACACGTTTTCCTATTTGGGATGTATATTCTCCTTTTTCACGAGTTTAGTTGCTGCGGTGCTGTGCTGAGTTTACCCACTGAATGTTTAGTAACAGTTTGTTTTACGCATATCGATATACACTATTTAATGGAAGCGAATTTGTGAATAAATTATGCAGACATTAACCAAGAAAGAAAACTCTTTTGGTGATGTTGTATACTTTAAACTATCAATATTCTCCAGCTTCTCAAATAAAACTCTTTTCTTAATTCGTTATAATAGCTGTAAAAATAGAAATTGTGGTTTAGAAATAGCCTGGAGAACGCCAAAAAAAGGTCAGAGGTTATTCACTGTCAGATACTAGCGAAACATATTGAATTGTGAATCAGTAAACAAAAGTCGAATGCTTTTGGGGTTAATACACTCAACAACCACGTCAACATTCGTGCAGTAGACGGTGAGTTACACCTATTGTATGGGGGCTGCCTGCTTGTCTGCACTTTGGTAGATGGAGCGGGGTCCAAACCCATGACCCAGTGGTACAAAGTCGAGTGGCTAGGTCAGTGAACCACAGCTCCATGCGAAGGTGGTAGTCGAACGAACTTTCGTTTCATAACTTCCTATTGTTTTTATGGTAATGAATGAAAGTGGCTAACAGTGGAATTCAGGACGCGTGCTTCGTCCTATTTAGGACTCGTCAGCTGGATGTGCCTGTACATCAGTGAGTGTTGGTGTCCCTACCGAAACAAGATACTTACATCAATCGGTATAAATGAGCGTAATGGGTTTCACTGCAAAACACCACCAAGTAAATTATAACAATAAATATTCAAGGAATACCGAGACATCTGTATGAGAGGCCATACGGAAACAAACGTCGGTCAATTTGATCCACCATTAGATATAAGATTAAAATAAATGGCAAGAGGAACAGCTACAACGGGATAGTTTCCATAAAGTCGATATTTGGAATCAAGTAAACACAGAGAAAATGTCTACAGTAAAGATACAAGTGAATGACAATGTTCAATTACAAATCTTCATAAAATTTAGTTCAAAATACAAATATGCAACAGGTAATATGTTTTATACAATACTACATGATGAAGGTTGAATTTGAATGAGTGTTACTTAAATTTTTAATGAATTCCATTTATTCTGATGATAAACTTCATATAGTCGCTCAAGGTCAAATGAGATTCCGTTACAGAGATCCAGTACAGACTTTTGTGTCTAAACATTTGCTTAAATGTGAATAATAGGATCAATTAAACGTCGATGTAATGAACCCATCAAATAGTACTTTGATGGTGAACAGGTAATTCGACAAATACAAGATCCCAGTAAAAGTGTACAAATATGCAGTAAAATATATAAGTATATGGTAAAATTGTTCGAGATTATAGAAAGGTAAAACGTTATGTATAATGCAGCAGTTCAAAACTGTAGGATTTCAGTAACGTAAATATAGAATATTAAACTATTTGGTTTTACATAGCACACAATGATTCAGAATTATGGACTGGATGACATTTTGAGCACAATTTAACACATTTACTCGCATCAAGGTAATCATACAACTAATCTAATCTAAAAAGGAATCGTAAAATTTTCCTGAATAGATCGTTTAGGAATTTGTTAACCTCAGAAGAAGAGTGTAGAAAAAGGTTGTGGGAGTACTTCCTTTCTCTAAACATACAACTCAGTTTGTTTCATCTGAATTAATACTGATTCTACATTTCAGAGGATTCATGGTCTAGAAGCTTTTAGGAAGCTGGTAAGAACCCGGTAAATAGTCGAAAGTGAATTATTCACATCCTCTCTATGGTCTTTTTGAAACAAGTAGGCTAATATAGATTGACTAATCTCTTATCACTCCTTTTCTTAACCACATCGAGAAGTCTTCATCAGCCTGGAAAAATAAATCTCCAGAGCAATGGCGATATAACTAGATTTATATAAACAATTGAAGTAATAGATACAGCTAAAAGCAGCTAGTCTAGGTAATTCATCTTTCTATTTCAATGTAACAATAAAATTGTAGTCGATTTCCTCCATGTAATCTCACTTGACCTTCAGTTATATCGATGTATCTTTTTCACATGACGGGAAAAATAGGATTAACATGAATCTTTAGTCAGTCAGCATCAACGGGTAAAATGTAAAGGAATTTGTCTCTTCCACCTACCTACCTAGACAGTATCCTTTCAACTACAGGCGGCACAAGCATAGATAAAGATGTGAAAGCCAGAATCAAAAAGACAACAAGACAGGCCTTCCTGCATTAATGTGAAACAATCAGTGTGGAGATCTACTGCACTGCACTACACTCCACTCCACTCCACTGCAGTGCACTACACTTCAGTCAGCATAAGGCATGAACAACATCCGCATTTTCAATACTAATGTCAGTCAAGTCAGTGTTTCTGTGTGATGGTTGACAGACTTGGTGCAATACGAAAAGCATTTGCATCGAACTGTATACATGTATGGACAGTTGATGCCTCTCACTCTCACTCAATCCTGACACTGAAGATCGATGAGATGGATGGATGGCCAGAATGATAAGAATAAGGAAGAAGGAACTGTGGCTGGCTGTCTGGCTGGTTGGCTGGGTGGCAACGAACCGACGAAGCGAGAAGCTATCGCGCACCAAATATTCGGAAGAAGGAAGTGGCGATTGATGATTGGATTGGATTGGAGATTGACTGAGAATACGGTTTTGGGACATGATGCATCGGGTCAGGTTGTCGAGGGGAACCGAAATATGAAAGGATGAGTTGAGCTTGGGAGGCGAGGCTAGGCGAGGTGAGGTGAGGGTGAAATGGAAGAGGTAGTGTGAAGAAGAAATGAAGGCTTGTGGGGAGTCGATGAGCCATGTTGAAAAGACTGAAGAGAAGAGAGTGAAATGGCGACGTGGTAGTGAAGCCGTATGTTCCACTAGGAACCCAAAGGACAAATTATAAATAATAATCTAGTCATTCATTCACATATTCTGCATACATGTGCCTTGAGTTGTTCCCAAATTTCATGAGCATTTGAAATTGAACATTGTCATTCACTTGGATTCTCCGTGTTTACTTGATTTCAAATATCGACTTTTATAAAAATTTTCGTGTTGTTGTTCTTGACATGTATTTCACTCTTGTATCCAGATCATGTGTATATATATCCGTATAACCTGAGTATGAAGATATCGAGTGGAATATTATTTCTATTTGGAGGTTTGTGGGGATTTATTGAATATTCTCAAGTTGTTATTCCCATGAACTGACACCAGTTGGAGGGACATTGGAAACCTGGGAGTGTTGGACAGTTGTTTCGTCCTGTCATGAGACTGCTCAACGATGCGTACCCATGACCTCATCAGAGATCGAATCCAGGACCTTCACCTCCGCAGCCAGCACGTTTCCACTGAACCACTAGGACAGAATCGAATAGTCCACATTCCCAACTTCTGTCAGTTCACGACATGTCGTGACCATCACCCAATGTCGTCCTTGAGTATTTATCCTCAAGTCCACCAGATTTGCCCCTCCGGTTATCACTTCACACTGGAACTTCCGGAATTAACCTCTCGAAGCTAGTCACCAATGAGCACTAGATCAATGCGATTTGGGGCTTCATTATTTCTTGCATGAACTACTTGCTCAATACGTGATTACTTATAGCTTCATGTGAGTTGATCAAGCGATCGCGTGTTCATCAAATAATATAACTTAATTCCCTTTTCTGTCAAAGCAATTATTTATGAGTTGAGTAGAATTTTGAGTCAATGCAACCATCTGTGCAGTCAGTCAGTATCAGCATGTAAAAATACAATACTGAGTAACTCTCCATATTGTCACATCTAGCACCAATGCATCAAAATCCACGGTAAGAAGATGAAAGACAGAAATAGAAGTGTGACAGTAAAATGTGGACACTGTGATAAGTCAAAAATCGAGACACACTAAGCAAGCTTGCGCACATTCGTGCTGTAGACAATGAGCCACACTTACTTTTCCAAAACTTGGTGGATTGAGCTGTGTCTGAATCCTTGACCGACTGGTTGAAAATTACCTCCGTAAACCAATGAACCATACCTCCATTATGGTAGATTATCATTCCATATTATGTTGCCTAGTTGACATAGCAGCTGTGTAAAAATATATATCAGTCAGCTGTTGAATATGAAAGAGCTAAAAATGATGAAGTCGTAGAAAGCCTTACAGAAAAGGGGTATCTAACCGAAGCCATAATTGTCTTTACTTGGCGAAAGCCATATGACTTGTGCAGTAAATTCATATTGTGATTAATTCCGAAGTATTTGTTTGAAACTCTAATGACTAGGATAAAACACTTGTTCAACGTTCACCACTTTCCATTAATTCCTTAACTTTCAGCGATTTGTGAGGAATAAATACTTCGAAATACTGATTACTATCAATTAACCCACCTTTCCTATTTTAATTTTTACATTCCACAAATTGCACAGGTTTACGCAACCAACTTTACCCAGATTTATCTACACTACGCCTAAATCACTTGAATACTATCAGTTTCAAATCATCGTCATCATCCTCGTCATCGTTTTCAGCTCAGTTGAAGATTAATTTGATAAAAGCGTCGTCATTCAGCTTATCTTCACCATCATCACCATCATCTTTATCACTACAAACTGATATGTTGTCTAGTCTGGAAATAGTTGAGCCAACTATCAAAACTCCATTAAAAACAATTGGTATTGTTCTTCGTGATGTTTTAGTTGGAATAAACGAAATACATAGTTCCATGTGTAGTAAGTTGTAAAGCTGGTCGCTAGTGTGATATTCATTAACAAGATTGCTTTTTATGCTGTGGAAAATGAATGTTTGTTTAATGTCTTTGGTGAAAAAATGTCTTAAATATTGAGAGAATAATTCCTCTAAAGAAAGTTATTGCTAGTCTCTCTCTCTCTCTCTCTCTCTCTCTCTCTATATATATATATATATATATATATATATATATATATATATATATATATATAATTTTCTAATTGATACTGAAGTCAGGAAAAATGCAAAGTGATTATTGTTATTTATTTGTTTCTGAACGTAGATATCTTCGTAGCGTTCCTTCCGTCTGATAGGATCACCGTGTGAGCAATGTTGAGATTTCGCGTAGGGTACTAGATAAGAAAGGCAAATCGTTTGTGAACTTTCAGTGACTGAGGTGATTTAGACATGCATCACACATACTTCACCATCGTACAGTGTTATACGAAGCAGGATTAGTTTCGAAGAGGACTCAAGGTTGTCAGAATAAGAAGTGGTACCATTCTGTGAGGTTTATGACTATCGGTTTCATCCATATAAGTTGGGTTTAGACTACCTAACTGGGATCCCTCCAGAAGAAACAAATTAATAGTTGAAAGTTCTTGGAAGCATTGCTGAAAATCGATCGAAGTGCATTCACTTTTTGATATCTTCGATCATTTTCACTAATCTTTATTGATTTCTCCCCTCTCCTTTTATGCACTTTTGTCTCTTTTGTCTTTATTTTCTATGCACTTGTTATTAGCATGCTTCTGTGGAGTGTGACAACTCGAACCAATGCACTTAGGTGCCGAGTTCTGCGTTGATTTTTCTGTTTGTCTGTCTGTCTGCCTATCTTGTTTTCACTTATCACTGCTTTCAGGTTTTTCATCGTCAGTGATTTAATTATCACTTACATGTATACTAGTCGTAAATCGTCTTTCGGATAACTTGTTGCAGATCTCAACAACAAAAGTAATTCACTGAAAACATATTCTACTAAGTATAGATCAATAAAGTTGTGAGCCTTCATTGGTTAACGTAGCTATGGCATGTGTTACTCATGCCGATCTACCGTCGATCTTGGCGTACAGTAGTAGTCTGGATGGAATTGAGTTAGTCAAGAATATTATAGGGTGATCAAACTACGAAATGACATTGAAACATGAAGTTTATCTGCCCCATATGGAGAGCTAGGTTCGCTATTCTTTTCTTAAGCATTCAGGTTCGACAACACTGCTGTAAAAAGACCCCAGTGAATCTGTCAGAGTTGCAATTGTCGAAAGCTTCATTAGCATTCACCACACCATCCTAATAAAGTTTTCATTCCAGGTCATTTATAAAGTAAAGCAAAATCTACTAAAGAGGTTACATCTCCGACTCATTTTCCTAGCTGAAGCCCTTGCTATGTGTAAAGAAAATTTGGAGTTATGCATTTAACAGTGAAACATCCCCAACGCTGGTTTTACTATGACCGTTATCGTGAACTTTGAAAATCTCCGATGCTGGCTCTTTTGAGTGGGATCATGTAAGATCTCTTATTAGACCTAATGAAACGGTTAAATTTTCCTAAGGGGTTATTTTTTACAAACAATAAATGGGATGGTTATATTCAAATTTGATGAAATCAGAGAGTGAAATATTTCTAATAGGATGGTGGTCAGGTATCAAATATAGTATTCGAAAAGTTCTATATGAGAAACAGTAACGTGTATACTGAACAAATATATACATGTAGTTATGCTTAGTAGGCAGCCCATTCATGAATGTTTTTATAGACTACTCTAACAACTACTGGAGTAGCCAGTTAGAGTTCTGTGATTTATGAAAAATTGACCTTAACAGTCGAAATTTAAAAAAAAATTGATTATTGCAGCCGTTGCTACGATGGTCTTCAAAATGCCCCTTCCCGTTGGCACACCTTACAACTTAAGTTGAAAGAGTACGAACCATATGCTGAAAACTTATTCTTAACTGGTAGTATGCTCTTTTCTGAATTTCCATTTATTTTTATTATAGTTTTTCCCTTGAGTTCCTAGTGGAATATAAGGCTTCAGTAGCACATAGCCACTTCACTCTCTTCTCTTCAGTCTTTTCAACATGGCTCAACAACTGCCCACAAGCCTTCATTTCCTCCCCGTACGATCTCCTCCATGTTACCCTCGCCTCCCAAGCTCAACTCGTCCTTTCATATTTCGGTTCCACTCGACAACCTGACCTGATGCATCATGTCCCAAAACCGTATTCTCAGTCAATCTCCAATCCAATCCAATCATCAATCGCCACTTCCTTCTTCCGAATATTTGGTGCGCGATAGCTTCTTGCTTCGTCAATTCGTTGCCAGCCAGCCAGCCAGCCAACCAGCCAGACAGCCAGCCACAGTTCCTTCTTCCTTATTCTTATCATTCTGGCCATCCATCTATCTCATCGATCTTCAGTGTCAGGATTGAGTGAGAGTGAGAGGCATCAACTGTCCATACATGTATACAGTTCGATGCAAATGCTTTTCGTATTGCACCAAGTCTGTCAACCATCACACAGAAACACTGACTTGACTGACATTAGTATTGAAAATGCGGATGTTGTTCATGCCTTATGCTGACTGAAGTGTAGTGCACTGCAGTGCAGTGCAGTGTATAGTGTAGTTTAGTATAGTGCAGTGGAGTGCAGTGCAGTAGATCTCCACACTGATTGTTTCACATTAATGCAGGAAGGCCTGTTTTGTTGTCTTTTCGATTCTGGCTTTCACAACCTTATCTGTGGTTGTGCCGCCTGTAGTTGAAAGGATACTGCCTAGGTAGGTAGGTGGAAGAGACAGCTTTCTTGCGTTCATGGTGATTGGTGCTTGTCGTTGTTGTTGATTGGATGTCTTCATCACCTCTACCTCTATCTTCTCTATTTTCACCTGAAGTCCCGTGATCGCCGCCCTGCTTCTTCTGTCAACTTGTTAGTTTTCGCCTGTAGGTCTTTGAGTTTGTGCGACAAGACATTAGACATAAATCACCATTGGCGAAATCCACGTCTTCTTGGGCATTTGCATTCAAACTGTTGATTTTATTTGAAAAGAAATGTGAATTTTCCATATTTTGTTTTTTGGGTCGGAGGTTACTAGGAGTGTCTCATAGTGTGATACATAAACATGAATCGGGTTCAGTTATTATTGTTGATAAATAGAGAAATATTTTCTACAGTTTTATATTGTTGATTTTAGATTCTTGATGTTTTAGCTGGTTTAACTGTGTATTAATAAGATTCTTAGTTTGTGACTTTTCATAATCAACCATTCACACCTTTCTTTGAAACTTTGCTCATCTTACACGCTCTATCATGTAAACGTCTGATTGGTGATAACAGACAACATTCATGATCGCTACACTTCTGGCATGTCAGTCATCATCGGATCAAAGTAAAATCTGTAGACATTACAGGCCTGTTATGGAAAGATAGGGCGCATGGTCTTTTAAATGCTTTAACAAAGCTGTTATGTTCTATATGTGCTTCCCACCTTTCGAAGCTGAGGTTGTACTTGGAGACTCATGTATAGTGATACCTAGATTTTGAATAGGAATTGAAATTGTTAACTACATTCGCCACTACTGTTATTTCAGAAACTGTATAAGTCCTGATGAATTGATTGTGTTGGCGGCATTTCGAAACGGATACATCCGCCTACATAAATCATTAGTTGTGCTAGTTTACCACTATGCCATTGATCAAGCGGTGAGTATGCTTCTCTGTCTTACATTCTCTTTGACTCTATGACTGTGTACATGTGTTATGTGGATGGATAACATTAAGAAGTAAAAGATTTTTGATCATAGATCGACTAGTTTTATGCTTAATCGAAAGTTGTCATTCGATTAATTTGTGACCTAGCACTTAGTAGGTGGCACTCTAACCAGATAGATATATAATATAAACATGGGGCCTGGCATCTTTACGTAAAGTTGTTACACCACACATCGGCACATCGAGCGAGAATTCGCCGAAACGAAAGATAAAGAAGTAAGAAGGAAATCAGTTAAATGCGCTAAAGAATGCAAGGATTAACGAGAGAATGTTGAAATTCAGTATGACAATTTAAATGAAGATAATGTGTGGATATATCTACTCCATTGACGTCGATTCTGATCCATATTAGATGATCCAATGTTTTTGTCTGGGTGCCCGTGGTCTTTTTCATGCCTAAACCTACTTCAGCTAAAATTGTGCGACAGGGAGTACGGTGACCGGGCACACATCACATGTTCCAGCCACCGCAGTCGATGAAGGTTCACAATCGCATGAACTGAATTTTGTCTCCTTCCTAAAACTATTTACCTAACTTCTGTAATACTGACGAGGTGGCACCACGAAACACGGTCTATCCTACGAAGGTAATGGTGATCAAGCACACCTGAAGCTTTCTCGTGCCCTCTACCTTTAATAGCCATGTTTAACAGCCATGTAGTAAAACAGAGCGAGCTGCAACACAATACACTGGGCTCTTAATAGGTAATCGAATATCATGGCTGTGTCACAATTGATGTAAGCTAGTGTAAATCAAGCAAGCCTTCTGTATTTGTGAGGCGATTTTATCGGTCACTGACTGACCAAGGCTGATGCTACTTCCAAGTTAGGTGACGTAGTCAATGCGCTTACCTATAAGAAGTGAAAACTCACTATTGTTAGGCACAGCATCACTGAAGACTGGCCATGGAGCAGTAATTTGCATTTAGGTGGTGAGTGACACATCTCAAACATTCTCAGTTCGCTGGTTAATGTATCCAGAAACCTCTGCAACGTAGTAACATCTTTAGAAATACAGACATGTCATTTACATACTCTCTGTCTACTAAGGAATTTCCTGTAACAAGGTCGATCGCCGTAAAGTCAAACGACAAGGGAACCTCCATATGCACATCTAAAATAAATTTGAATAAGAATGGAGGGAGTGGGAAGCCTTGATGGACTTCACTCGACGTACCCGACTCAGCATAATGCGTCTACGGGTTTTTGGAATGCA